ACGTTTAATTATATTATACTTCTTATTTTACAACATTACTGGCAAAATAACACTTAACAGACAAAGTAAATACAATATTTTTATTATTTCAAACAATTATTTCCCATCCCTTAAAAAAAATAAAAACCTCTAAATTAGATTAAAGAAAGAAAAATCCGTCAGACACGGCCCTACGTAAATAAAGTTTTGTGTAATTTGATTGGATAAGACTTCAGCTCGCCGCAGTACGTAGAATGCGCGGAAGAAAGGTTGTTATAAAAAAAAGAGTGCAGAAGTTTTTTAACAAATATATACTAATGTGCAACAAATGTGATTAGAAATTAGTAAATTCATATTGTATGGATGTAATATGATTGTTTAATTAAGTTTTAACATTGCCCCCGGATGATCGGAACGAAGTATCTTTTTATTAACGATATTGAGCATTCGGCCCGCGGCCTAATGACAGTGTCAACACCATTCTCAAGGTGTTGTTCCCTGGTGACGACAAAACCAATGAGAACATGGTTCACAGAACAACTAAAGGAAGCAGAGATGGCAAAAGGTGGGCAGGACGATTGGCCCTTTACGAACAAAGAAATTAAAAATGTCATTGACGGCATTAAAATGAGAGAACCTTAGGGAAATACATTTTGTGCACCCAGATCTCATGACGCTTTTAAATAAATGCCCCATCTTCCATTACTTTCCAAAAAATTGGAAAACTGCAAAACTAGTACTATTTAACAAACCAGGGAAAGACAACTCTGACCCGATATGGATAAGCTTATGACTCAGCGGATATATTACTGCTCCAAAAGTAGAAACCTGCTTAACCCACATGAGTTTAGAACCGGAAAGTCATAAGACACGTCCCAACATTGCCTGTTTCAAACGATTAAGGATTTTCAGAATAAAAGCTTGCAAGTAAATTTTGTAGCACTTGACGTGCACGGGGCTTTTCATACTGTTCGGAGACCAGGTATAATTGCAGAGGCTGCTAAAAAATCCTGTCCGGACATCTTCTAACTAGCTCGATCATACTTCCAAAATAGAAAAATCTTCTATAAGCCAACAAAACTTGCTTAAAAATTCATTACCCTCAAGTAATCCAATATCAACAGCAATAGATATTTATACAGATTCATTCAAAACCATGAAACTAAGATATAAATGTATTGCATATAGGTTAATATTCATAGTTTCTTTTAGGGCTACAGTGGACACCGAAAATCGTAAAAATCACTCAAAAAATCGATTTTCCAATTTTGACTATTTTATATTAATTAAATTATGCTCTATTACATGCAAAAAGAATTTTTCGTGTTTGAGCAATTATAAGCTAGTTTCGTTTATATTTTTACTGTCACCTGAAACCTCATAATTTTTAGTCTTTTACACTTCCTAAGTAGGTGGACCGTTATTCTTTCACAATACGCATAAAAACATGGGGTTTTATTTTTACCTGCTACAGAACAGGTGAATTTGAAACTCTACACCCCTTTCTGTTTTAATTTGCAGCTGCTTAGTTTAGACATTAAAAAAAAATATATTGCAATTGTATTCATCTATTAAGTGTTTATTTTTCATAACTGACGAAGTTTAAGGAACATTATTTCGAAGACATTGAGCCTGAGTTTATAGACGAAATGGTGCAGTAGAAATACTTCATCTTACAATTAGAAGACACCGGGGAAAAAAATTGTGCCTGCCGAAGAGTCTTACAAACTGATTATTGGTAACATGGCACAATCAACTTTCCCGAATGTAATGACAGCTTTGCAAATGTATAGAAGTCTAATGATTACAAACGCCACTGGTGAACGAAACTTTTCCAAATTGAAATTAATTAAAAACTGTCTTCGTTCAACTATGTCTCAAAACCGTTTAAATTCATTGGCCATAATGGGAATTGAAAATGATGTATTGTAAAAGGTTAACTTTCAGGATGTCTTGAACGATTTTGTAACAAAAAAAGTTAGAAGAGTTATTTAAGCTTATTGTGTGATTTTTTTTTAAATGCATATATTAATTACTTAATATTCTTTTCGTTTGATTCAATATTTTTATTGAATAATGTGATAATATACCTATGTAGTAAAAAACAGCGTAATTATGAATAAAGTGTTGTGTTAGTGAAAAAATATATTAGGAAGTTAGAAGACGGTAGGGGAGGGCCGCGACATGCATAAGCCGGCCCTGAGCGTGAATTCCAATAGTCGGATTAATTAAACATGCTGTATTGCTTTTGATATCAAACGGTGAGGAAGAATAAAGTTTGGATAAAACTAAAGCGCGGCAAATAAGTGGAGGAAGGGAGAACTCAAATATATTCTACATTTTAATCGCTACTTGGCTTTAAAAAGTTGCAGATTTTAAGCAACTCACTGCAAATTAGTTTTTACTCATATTTCTACTAAAATAGTCTCCATAGTTGCTATTGCTATAAAATAGTCGATTTAGTTGCCAATAGCAGCTCTGTAATGATAGCTTAAAAAAATAACTGCTTTATGGGAAGAGTGCACAGTTTTATCCCACATTAAATATTTTACCAAATCAGCATTTGACAAAACAATTTGTATTAAGCGAGTTGTATTAAGTATTTATTAAGTGTCAATTTGTAGTAAGCCTCTAGGAAGACTAAAAGAAAACTCATTGAATATTTTAATGACTTTTAAGATATTCGCTCAAGCTAGATTGTTCAGAAGAAAATTCTGTCTTCATTGATAATAAAGACTAGGTCTGCAGGAAACTAACACGTTTATTCACACCCAAAATGAAATACCACTGTGTTTTTTTCGAAATTAAGTCTAGGCCCCTCTGTGTCTAAAGCAGAGGTCGATGCTTAAGTAGAACCTTCATAGATTTTTGCAAAGGGTTGGTTATATGACAATGTCGTAGATGCTTTTAATTCTAATATTTTGCAAGGTAAAAATTTATTAGAACCCAGTTGTATGCATTCCAAAGTTATTATGGAAGACACTTGCTCATGTCTTGACTAAAAAATTCAATTCAATCCAGCAAATATTGAAACGCAGAAGTCACTAGGGTACCTCGGGATTGTGACACCCGTGTTTACCCGATAGTAAACCCCTTGAGGTAGTTTAGTAAGCATTTTAACTTTTGGATTAAAATTTCCTTAAATTTATACTACAGTTAAACCCCGCTATAGTGAACACGGCTTATAGTGAACCCCGGGTATAGTGAACGAAATGTTCGGTCCCGTGCCTTGCTATATACGTATAATGTTATTTTTTATAGATATAGTGAACTAAAAAAGTGAGTAAGTTGGATATTATGAACTTTCTTCTGTTTCAGACTGATTTTTTTTCCTTCATTTTTTTAAATAATTTTGAAATGTCTACTTCAAAATAAAGACTTATACTGATTTTTAAAACCATCTATAGAGTGGAATGCTGTGATAAGTATTTTTTCTTGTTTCCTTCTTTTATCACACTTTTCCATCCCTAAACAAAGGTCTTTACCATGCAGATGTATGGACAAATTTTTCCCTGCATCAGCTAAAGATATAACTTATTTTTTTTTTTTGTAAACAAGACGAAGAGTAATAAAAAATAAAAGCAAGTTAACACATCATTTGCTACTACGTATTATTTTTCAGTCATTTTTTTAATTTCATTTTATTGGTCATTTATTTAAATAATGTATAATAAAAAGGAGGAGTTTGGAACAATTAGTCAAAATTGTTTGCGGAACGGATATAGTGAACCGTTATTTCGGTCCCTTGAAGGTTTACTATAGCGGGGTTTGACTGTATTACCACAATAAAAAAATATCACCTTTTTTTTTTCTCGATACTTTCACATTTAAAAAGTTGTTTTTACAAGTTAGGGGTGATTGTGAGCCCAAGTCAAAATTCCGGAAATTTTCTTGAGTTAAAAAAAAAAAGCAGCTTAAATTAAAAAATTAAGCAAGGTTTTTTTCTCCTTTTCTCAATATTTCTTGGTTTACTTAAAATATATTAAAATTTTTACACATTCCTATACCATTTACACATACCTATGATGACCTGGAGAAGTAATTAATATTTAGAAATATGTCTTTCTTTCTTGAGTTTATGATTACAATAACTATTTACTGATAAAAAAATGAATATTAATCATGAATATAAAGTATCTGGCTCTCCCTTTCAAACAAATAAAATAAACTGTGTTTTTAAGTTCCACCTTTGAAAATTTGATTTCCGGAAACTTCTGCTATCAATGATTTTTTTAAACGTCTGAACCTTCAATCTCTGGATCACTGTTAGCGAAAAATCCGGATTTTTAATGGAGCACAATCAGCCCTGACAAGTACAAGAATTTGTTAGAAACATATCATTAAATGAAGATATTGTACTAAAAATTCTATTGAAATGTGTAATGCTTGGAAATGACATGAATAGATGTTACTGAGATGATTTACTGTTATCAATAACTTTATAGGTAGTTTTTCAGGTATGTCCACAAATTCCAGAATTATCTAAACTGTGGAGAAAAAAAAAATTTAGAATATTTATGAAAGGAACCATATTTATTGATGAACGAATTCAGATTTACACGCTGAAGACAAGGAATCACTGTTAGACACCAAATTTTAGACACTAAAAAAAAAAAAAAAAGATCACTAAGGTGCTGCTGGTTTGGGAATTCATGTTTATATGATAAACCCCAGAGAAATCAACTAATTTCTGAAATCTTAGAACGAAATTGTACTAAGACAAATAACTACCTTCTTAGACAAGGACAATAAGAAAATAAGACAGGAGTATATTACTGATTACTTGCATTATACTGAAGCACAATGAAATACGTCCTTTTAAATAAGTGCAACTAATTAAACAACATGGCCATAAAAATAAAAAGATGTTTGCAAATGTTGATATATACTGCTAGATTTATACAGATTCCAAAAGTTTGTTTGATGTTGTCACACATTTGAATCATTAAAGATATAACTACCATAAAAATAAGACAGACAAATTTTAAAACACAAAAATAACTTTATTTATAAATTATTAATATATCTTAATTTTAAAATGTCAAGTTTTTAAACTTGTAGTGAAGAGTTTATTTCCACTCTTACAATTAATTTTAGTAACATTCAATCTTCTAAAGCAAGGAATATTTTTCACAAATGCCTGAAACACTATCTGAAAAAGAAAAGAAAAATTAATTGAACAAAAAAGAAGTATCTAAAAATGAAAAGTAGTATTTAACCTACATACAGTGCTACAAAAATTAAAAGTACACTACAAATATATGACTTAACAATTCATTTGTACTAGTTTTAACTCTATAAATTAGTTAACTGAAACAATAAAATGACTTGCGTGGTGACATCTTGTATCATAATACTGATAATTGATAATACTTAAAGAACTTCTAGATTTGAGCGCCAATTACCCTTAGAATTCCTGGTTTTCCAGGTTCTAGAAAGAGTTGCCATTCAATATTGAAAGTACAAGCTATAGATTAAAAAGGGCCCTGCCCTGTTTTAAAATGGCTAACATTTTAATAATTAAAGTTTCTTCGTACATAAGATTATTTTTTTCTTTTATATCGCTGCTATAAAAACAGTTTACTCAAAAACTAAACGCTTTTTTATTTGTTCCTTTTACAGAAAACTATCCTAAAGAAAAGACCTTAGCATTACATTAATATAGACTAAAAGATTAATTGCAATGTAAGTTTGCCCTAATTTTTTTTTCAACATTTCAAATGTAATTTAAGATATGCACATGTTGCATATGCTTTAATAAAATATTGGTAAACATAGAAAAATTCTGAATTTAATGAAAAATTTGCAAAACTAAGTTTCTGATATACTATTTAAATATTAATAATCTGACACCAAATAAAGGTTGTTACAAAATATGCATTTCAGTTGCAAAGAAAAAATATGTTTAAACTTTATAATAATTTTTGTGAAATTCATCTATTAGGATTCTAAATTTCAGTTTGATTTAAATCAGCAGCACTTAGAAAACCAAACTTAATCACCATCATAAACTTTGGAATAACGCTAATGCAAATATTTGTTAAACACAACACACATTTATAACGGGGGAGGGGGGGTAAAAATGGAATTTAAAAATTATAAATTCTGCAATAAAATATAAAAGTTGTTTTAATAGAATGAAAGTATATTTCTTTCTATTTTGTAACCTTTATTTTAGAATTAAAAACATAGTTGAACATAATATATTTAACACAAACAAATAAAACAAAAAATATTTTTACTCATATTCAGATCTCCCAGAAGAGATTCTATAATTTGTGACTTACTACCAACACAACATACAAAGCTGAGATGAAAAGATGGATCCTGTAAAATAAAAATACACAGATTTAGAAACAATGAGATAACACATTTCCAGCAACACATTACTTTTAATCTTTAAAAGGTAAATAAAGAAAATTGCTGAGACTCATTTTTAAAACATCATTAATCTTGTTTCTAATAAACTTTAAAAAAGTAGAATTGATAGAACTTGTCAAAGAACAAAGATAATACTTAATTACAGGTTCAACATGTATTTATAAAAGATGTATTTCATTTTGCTTAGTACCATTGAATAAAATTTACATTTAACATGAAATTTTATGTTTAAGATCACATATAAGGGTATTTTGTTATGCATGTCAGATCAGGCAGAATTTATACAATAATAATCTCTTTCTGATAGCAGCGCGGTCACAGACAAATTTGGTTTGATGAAGATACATTCAGCAATTTTGTTATAGGATTTAGAGCATGGAACTGCTACTTTATTCCGCAGAGAACCCCACTTCCAAACAAAAACATACATTTAGTGGGTTCACTACATTTTTTTATTGGACAAAAATATCAAATATTCACTCATAACTAAAACATACTAAACTAGACCACATAAAAATAAAATAAAAAGAACATCAAAACAGGACGAAACTGTTTTGTTGCATTGTCTTCCTTTATTTAAAGGGAATTAAAATATTTCAAATTTAAAGTCATAATGGCAAAAGAAAAACTGTTAACATAATTGCTGTGAAACTTTTGCTAAATCAAATTTCTTTATTGTAAATGGAAACATTTTGTCTTGAAAACTAAATAATACTTTACACCTATTGGTCAAATGATTTTCACGAAAGGGAACAGCCTACATTAGAATGAAGAATTTAAACTGAATGTTTGAATGGGATAAATATTCCATCGATAAAATAGCTTAACTCTTTAAATACCGAGCACTCAAAACCACAACATGCCCAGAATACCGCAAACGCCCTAAGTTGTAAAACAGGTAGCAAAAAGTTCCTACCCCCCAGCTTAACTCAAGAATGACTGATCATCTTAGTCACCTGGGTAAATATCCCCAAAAGAGGTTTTCAAAGGGAAGAAAGACATTATTGAAAGCAAGAACATTCCTAACATAACAAGATTTATAAAATGTTAATAAATGCTTAATTTTTTATTTTAAAAATTGTATTATTTACATGGAAAATTAACTATGTAATTCAATGCAATCCAGTTATACAATTTCTAAATGAAGCACTTAAATGGAAAATGATAGTCTCGTATAAGTAAATTATTTTTATTTGTTGTAAAATAAAAACTAATATAAATCAATAACTGCAATGATTGCAAAATAAAATTTCTTACAAACCAAAATTTAAAATAATCAGTCATTAAGGAGAAATTAATTTGGTGATAGTATATAAAATATTCATTCAACTTAAATTTGTCATATTTTACATCATTCTATAATTTGAAAATAAGAGAAACTTTTCTTATTCTTTGATACAGCTGAGAAAAAATTAAAAATATAATCCCCTGAAACTGTTCACTTGACCCCAAGTCATAAAAAACATATTTTTCACAACAGCCTGCACTTAATTCATTTCAATGAAATTTTCTGTTGTAAATAATATTCCCTCTAGCGCTGCACCTTAAAAGATTTTGTAAACCTGTACAAAAAATTTTAAAAAATGCTAAAGAACTATTTTAACAATAATATTTTAAGTACAATATTCTATATAAATTTTAAGAAATCAAAAAGTACAATTGTTTTTAAATAAATTATTTACTTATAAACTACATTTATATGCCAGTTTCAATTTGAAGTGTCAAAAAAAAATTTAAATTGAAAAATTAAAATGAATAATTATAAATTTATTTGTTATAAGACTCTTGTAAATAATCTAAATTGTTTAACTTTTTTTTAAATATTTGAAAGTAACAATTTAAAAACATTTTATTTGAAAAGAAAAAAAAATGGAGCATATTACCTAATTTCTTTTATTTTGCTACAATATATTTACTAATCTAAGCTTTTCTTTTTTAGAGACAAAAATATTTTTAACTTAAATACAATGTGATATTCAAAATTGGTGTAAAAATAATTAAGAGGCAAATATACATGCTCTTTAACAGTGTCAATGAAAACAAAACTGCATTGATATCAAAATTTAACAAAACTTCAAAATTGTTAAATAGAGCCATTTCACACACATCATAGTCATGCAGAATATTATTAACTCGCAACATAAACATAAATTAATCTAGCAATATTGAGGTAAATTTTCAAATAATGTCGGGGCAATAAAGATACATCTATATTTACAAACAATAATTTATCATTTATACCTTATAAAGTCAAAAATACTAAGTTCAGAACTGTTATGAACAATATTCATGATTAACAAGATATTTGACTTAAAGACAATAAAGCACATTACTTAATTTGTTATATCTTGATACAATGTATGTACTAATTTAAGCCCCTTTAAAAAAAATTCTAATGTAAATACAATGTGATATTCAAAATATGGTAAAAATAAATAAGATGCACAAGCATACATCCTCTCTAACAATATCAATGAAAAGAAAATTGCACTGATATCTAAATTTTAAAATTGTTTAACGGCGGTAATATTTTTACACATTATCATTCATGTGCCGAACATTATTCATTCACAGTATAAGATAGATAAAATATTTTTCATAATTCTATTTAATTGTCAAAAACATCTAAAAAATAGATATGCTTTTGCACATGTAAATATGTTTATCATTCTATAGTGTGTGTGACTTATAATTACTCTTTTATTTAGCATTCATATGATATAAATTTAATTCCATAACTTAAAAAATAAAAAAAACCTTTCAAACTTATATTCCAAGCAAAATATTTTGCTATACCATATACATAATTCAATTTATAAACACATTAACATTGAGGATAAAATTACAAACCAAGAACATTTGAATTTGAGTGTTTTCACACTTAACATATAAGTTTACATAAGGTTTGTGTTTATTTTACTAAATGGGTATAGTGCTGCTTTGAGGAGAACAGCTCCCGCCAAAAAGTCTGGGGCTGTCTGCTGCTATGGTAACGAGTGAGGTAACTTTTCTAATGGGGGTGTAATGGAGAAATGAAGGAGTCGATTGGTCTACCAGATTGGCTGGTTTATCCCCTTTCATGAGACCTCTCCAAATTAATATTTAGACAATCTTTTGCCTTTTCTTAGGGAGAAAAAATAATACAGGCTTAAACGAAACCGTATTTTCATTTATACTTTTATTCTATATGCGTTAATTTATTTGGAATTCAGCTGCTATTTATTTATTGTAAAAAAAAATTTTTAATGGTGGTTAAAAACATCTTTTTAATCAACTTCTTTTGCCTCATGAAAAAACTTTTGAGATTATTTCTCTGTTTTGATCAATATTTTTTTTAAAAAAATATCTATCTTTCTTTAATCGCTATATTCAAGAGGCGTTTGATTCAGGTTTCTTATATGTAGTTTTTCTTTTTTTCATGCGATTAATTTATTAATTGTTGTTACATACATAAAAATGGAATAAGCATTTCATAAACTGAATACATCATGTCATTTTATTCCTGTCTAAGACTTGACATATTTGTGAAAATATGGCTCGACGGAAATGATGTTTAAAATCTATTAAATTTTATTACTACTCCAAAGATAAATAAAGAACTAAAATTCTATGAATGATTTTGATATCTAAACTTATTATTAAATTAGCATTATTATATAATTATTAGTTTGCCATTTGTTTTAACAAAAAGCAATTTCAATTTCAAATTTTTATTTAACTTTTTTTATAATTGTTTTTTTGCATAAAAAAATGTCTTATTTTCATGCAGCTTTTTAATACCGTTTATTAAATGATCCGATAAAGCATTTACACTTCACATAGAAAGTTTATTAACATTTTTTCTTAAATTTTTCTTTCATCTACGAAATTTCAAGGACTATAAAAAATATCTAACTAAGAAAAAAAAATTTAAAAAAAAAAAATTTAGTTTGTATTGGCAGTTTGAGGGATTTTTCCTTAGATTCCTCAGAAAAGCATTCCAGGACATTGTGGGCAATTTTCCGTGCCTGAGACTTCAATGTCTCACCTTTCTTAAAAATGAAAGGCATAAGTAACAATGAAAACGACAAACAAAAATTTAAAAAAATTAATGAAAACAAAAATTAAAACAAACAAGATAAAATTAAAAGATAGAAAAAAAACTTAAAACAAATGTAAAACTAACAACAATTAAATAGTTAACGATTAAAATAATCACGAAAAAAAAATCTTATGAAAACTAAGCTACTTTGTCAGAAAACGAGAGAATAAAAGAAAGACGAGTTCCTATCACTTGGCTCTATGACTGTCACTAATACTAGGAAGGGGAGCAAAGATTCACCAACTTGTGCCAAGCTAAGATCATTACATAACTAAGCACTTTCTCTCTGTTCTCTCCACACCTCTATTAGAAGTGACTTACCCTCGTAACCATAGCTCCCGCCAAGACGCGAGACAGGTGTCTGGAGCTGTTCTCCTGAAAGTCGTACTATACTTTATATGTTTCTTAAACATATCATAAAGTAGTTAAACATCAAGAGTAGCACAAAAATATAATACCTTGTCTTTTCTTCATTTTCATACACCTCTAAAGAGTCAACCCCCAGCTGAAACCTATAATAATTTCTTTTTTTTAAATCAAAAAATAGTAAAATACAAGAAAATAACTTCGATTAATTCCATCAAAAAATCTGATTTTGTCATTTCATGAACATGATCCAAATTGAGAAGCATGCTCTACTTTGATCTGCAACACGACAAAGTTGTAGTTTTTAACAAAGCTCACAAATTTCAAGGTATTAAATATATTGAAATGTATTCTGAAGAAAGTCATTAAGTTTATTCCACTAAATTTTTATTACATTTATATTGAATTGAGTTATATACTTTATTAAGTGAAATTTTTCTGTTGCATTTGCATGACATTTTGTTGCATTGCATACGTCATTACTCTATATGTATTTTTGTTGATGCTTTTTTCCCCATAATTGCAAATTTAAACAATTTCTGTGTTACCAAAATTAATAAAAGTAGTAATAATTTTGCTAGTTCAAAATTTTTTATACAAAACCTTAACATCAATAGTGGTATTATTACAAAGAAAACTAACGCATTTATAAAAGACTTAAAAATTGAACGAAATAATAATTTCTCCTTTTACTACTCCATAAAATCCTAACTAAATTCAGATTCATAGTCAGTGGCATCAATAACACATGGATCAATAAGTTCCGAGACTAACCCAGAGATGGCGCTCGTAGTAAACCAGTAGCCAGGTCTTTCTAGAGTACTAACATTTGCTTGAAACGTGTCAAAATTTTAAGTCGATCGGACCAGAAACAGCTGTGTTATCGAGGTTGGAGTAAAGTCGTTTTGTAGTTTGTTTAAAAAATGGAAAAAACAGTTTCGTGTTCTGATAAAACATTGTTTTTTAATGGGTAAAAACACCGTGCAAGCGAAACAATGGATTGACAAATGTTACCTGGACTCTTGTCCATCAAAAGCAACGATTTGTCGGTGGTTTGCCGAGTTTAAACGTGGTCGTACCGACACAAATGACGCGGAACGCTCGGGTAGACCTGTGGAAGCCGTTACACCGGAAAATGTGAGTGAAGTGACAAAAATTATAATGAAAGATCGTAAAGTGAAGCTCCGTGAGATTGCTGAGATGACACAGATATCATATGGAAGTGTATTTACTATCCTTCATGAAAAATTGAGCATGAAAAAGGTTTTTCCAAGTGGGTGCCGCGATTGCTTTCGATTGAACAAAAACAGCAACGAGTCGATGATTCAGAAAGCTGTTTATCGCTATTTACTCGCAACAAAAAAGATTTCTTGCGTGGTTACGTGACCATGGACGAAACATGGTTAAGTGCTCCAGGGAAAAAGATTTGGCTCAAATGAGGAGGTCATCGCTGAAACTGAAGCTTATTTTGAAGCGAAAGATAATTTTTTTTATAAACATGGTATTGAAAAATTGGAAAAGCATTGGAACGATTGTATCACCCTAAAAGGTGATTATGTTGATGAATAAAAAAAAATTTTGCAAAAAAATGTTGTTTTCATTGTTAGTCTCGGGACTTATTGATCCATGTGTTAGTAACACTGAAAAAAAAAGGTTTTTTCCTTGAAGATATTCTTAAAAAAGTATACAATAAAATTAAAAACGATACTAAGAATGATAATCACCTTCACCTGAATTCGAATATTAAAAATAAAGTAGAGATTTATAGCATATCCTCCTTCGAAAAAAGATTCTTATAAAATTTGAATTGCAGTGAATTAATTTTTCCAAAATGGCATATGTATAAAAAGGCAGTGTATTTAAGGGATGGCGGCTCATTTTAACAAAAAGGGAGCACACTGAAATTATAAAATACATGAAAAAAATTAAACCCTAAATTAAGACTAATTTCATTGATAATAAAGATTTCAAACTATGAAATATTAAAAGAATAAATTATTTTATTTTCTGCATGTAATATTAATTATTTTATTTTACGCATGTAAATATTTCCAAATAAATCAAACATTTCATTTAAATTTTTTTATTGACCAAATATTCCTTTAAAAATACTAGCCAACAAAATTTACAATTGAAAACTTAAAGAGATCATACGCTAATTAAATAACTTATATTATCCTTTAAATGAGCAGAAATCAAAATCTGTAAAGAGGTTAATCTGTCTTTATAAATATCTGCCATAATATAAAATTAAACCATTAAAAAAAAAAAAAAATTTGAAAAAAAAAAAAAACAAAAAAAAAGGAGGGAATTATGAACTTTTGAAATGTTTTGAGAATATTTCTAAAAGCAGTTTTGTAAACAAAATAGGGGCAACATTTAAGTCTTAATTATTTCTGTCTGATAATCTGTTGTAGTAGAAACTATTAATTCATCTAAATAATGTGAACTAATGTTAACCAATCTGAGAAATATACAACTAAATTTAAGAGATTTTTTTAAAATTAAATTTATTGCTAGTGATAAAAAGGGTACTTTTAAAAAATAATGTTACATCCTTTAACAAAAATTATCTAAAGGTAATAGGTAAAATATACCCACAGAAAACACACTTTATTTTCAGCACGCGCAAAAAATGAAGTAATTTTACAACTAACTTTACAATAAAGAGCAAAATTTTGTTTTGTGGAATGAGAATAGAACAAACATGCAGGAACTACTGCTAAATATTTCAAGGCACAACAAGCTACTACTTCCAAAACAAGAGAAAAGTTACTTCTTAATTTGTTACTCCTTTTTTGCTTTATTTGATTAATACCAGAAGTAATTGTTTCTTAGCCAAAATTCAAGAAAATAAACCTCATTTTAATTTTATGCAATGATTGCTCAGATTATCCAGATTAATAAAGAATACAGTCAAATACAGAAAACTGTATAATTAAAACTGAAAAACAATAGCAAGTTTTAAAAATATCCTACAATATCAAAGCAAGGTAAGGATAAGAGCTTTGAAAACCCATTTTATGCATTTAAACACAAAAAAAAAAAAATATTAATCTGTAGATTTTTATTTGATGATTTCAATCAGTATATCAAAACTTTATTATTGTGTACTGAATATTAAATATATTATAAAATACCTTTAAATGTTTTGAAGTCAATAGCTAAAGACTGTACCATAATCACATATCTGTTTAACAATTACAAAGTGCATGATAAAGCTAATGCAGCTCATTCTATATGATAATCATGTGCATCAACTTCAGCCACTGAAAAACAATCCTCAAACAATTAATAAGACAAAATAAACAGCATCAACTAAAAAAAAATTTTCCTTTGACAAATAGCAGTGGTGATTGTGAGCCCAACTCAAAAATCCTGAAAATTTCTCCAATAAAATCATTAATTACGCATTTCAAAAAATTAACGTCTTTATAAAAATTTAAATCATTGATATTTTCAAAACATGAAATTCTAAATAAATTATATGCAGCATAATTAAAATGAATAATTATGCATAAGTTTACTTTTATCTCTATTCATATTTATAATTCTATCAGAAAAAATATTTATAAATGAAAGAGTTGTCTAGTATAAATTTGAGTTCTAATATTTCTAAATAAAACAAAAAAATTTTATACACAAATGTGATCAATAATTTCTAGAAACTTTTGGACCAGATTTTTTTCGGAGCACAATCATCTCTGCAAATCGAAATAAAATTATATAAAAATTTATAAAAACTGACAGTGATATCAAATAGCACATGTAAATTTTCAATTATAAAGTAAACTCAGCGGCGCGACAACCCCTGAGGGCCAAGGAAATTATATATAAATCAGGAAAAAATACTTTTTACAAGAAAATTTGGACCTTTGCAAAATTTTTTAGAACGTTAGTTTTTAAAATGATCATATACTGCTTTAATGTACGCTTTTAAGATGTTCATAGAAATAGCAGAAATAAAAAAAAATCTCAGGATGGAAAAAAAAAATTTAGATATAAAACATGGATATTAAATAGACGGTAAAAACCATGAGAAAAACAGGTTTTTACAAAGAGTGTAAAAACCATAGTCAATGCCTGTAAAAATCTTATACCATGACAACCCTATTACCAGAAATACTTTTCACAGATTTTTTAAGTCCTAAAATGTACGGACTTGCAAATTTATGTTCTGGAAGACAAATTGAAAAGTGAGATCTGAAGAATTGTAACTATTATACTTTTTACTGAACCACAAATTCTGTGATACTGATTTTTTTTATAAAAAAAAACTATATTGACCAAGGTTGTTTTTCAACATTTTTTTCTTTTTTGCTGTTTTAAGTATAGCAGTGCATTTTAACAGAGCGTTTTTGATAAGATAATTGTTTTATATTGTCACTTTTTTGTGTATGGTAGAATGGTAGGACATGTAACCAGTAGCAAGCAAATCCGTGATTTTCAACATTAGTTATATTTTAACAATTAAGAGCATTTTTTTCTGTTTCTCCTGAGCCTTATTATTAACTTTCCTTTAATCAAGATCTTTATTATAACACTATTTTTTTAAGAGCTTTATTCTTTTAACATCACTTTTTTCCAAAAAATTATATAAGCAATGTAATGTTTTCTTTTTTAAAAAAAATTAAATCTGCAATGCAAAAAAAATTATAAAGGATTGTCAGGGAGGCCACAGGCTAAGCAGGCTTCATAGTAGGCCAAAGAAAAAAATTCAAGGAAAAATCAAGATATGTTTAGAAGTAATAAACAAATACTAAACTACTTTTAAATAATTGAATGGCAAACTAAAAGTATAAATGGCTCACTTAAGTATAATAAAAGCATATGTTATAATAAATTATACTGTTTTTTATTCAAACTATTTTGTGTAAAAGAGAAAATTTATATTTTTTGAAATCCTGCCACTTTATTAAATGGCAATTAGTTAAGTTAGGCACTCATTTAAGTGACTTATCTTGACCAATGCCTCATTTTCTTTCCTTGACAATTTAAGATTAAAATCAACCTTCTTTCATTGAAATATATATGACACTTAATTTTCTTACATATATATTATTTTTCATTGTACCAACAGCACATAAACTTTCATTGAGACTGTCATAAATTGTTCTGCGACTTATGTCATAGTTTCGAGCAGTTTAGAGACAAATTTAAGATCTTCAATAAAGAGAAATCAAGAAAGTATTTAACTTACATTCAATAAATACATGTGTAGCCCAAACACCCCTATCATGAGGAAAAGATTTTTCTGTGTGATTGACATTATTACCAAACATATCTTGAATTTCATAAGACAATGGAAGAAGTTCTCTATAAAAAGAGAAAATACAATTTTCAAAGACAAAATACATATCGACAATTTCGAAAGAAAACTATAAATAAATATAACTAAGATGTGTCCATAAAATCAAAAAGTAAACATAAATTTAGTATTTATATTTCGAAAAATTCTACAGGAGTAAAAGTTAAAAAAAATTTCTCTCCCAATACTTTCGTAACAAATTTGTAATTAATAATGAATTAATTGTAACAACAGTAACATTTTGCCTATTCACTTACTCTTCAAAATGACAAGACTAATTCTCATGTAGCAAAATAACTGTTTAAAACCTCACTTCAATTAGTGCAAGGTGCATGAACACAAAAAGCGTTACAGTTATCTTTCGTGCCGGCTTCAAAAAATTTTATTGACCCCCAATAGCTGATACATGGTTCATACAGAAATGTTTCAAAAAAATTCAAGTACTTTTCAAAGGAAAATATTAAATTTTCAAGGATAGATTCGAAAATATTTCAACTGATTTAAAATCTGAGGTAAATTATGATCTACCTTTAGTTAGTATATAACTGTCTATAATTATGAAAAGCTCTTTAAAATATAAAATTCCTCACAAATTCTCAAAAAAATATTTTAATAATAAAATGGAAAATATGCTGTAAGTATGAAGCAAATGCAAACGCTGCAATAGATATTTAAATGTAGTAAGAAACTGTGTATAAAACAGTACAAATCTTCGAGGGGGGTAGCTTTCTTTCGGAAATACATTCTAAAGGCTTTTAACATATAATGCAATTTGTAACATATGAAGTTAAATTTTGTACTTTTAAACATTAATCTTTAGAGTGTGTTAAATAAAAAAAAAAAGGTGGTGAGAAATTCAAATTGCTTAATAATTCATTTCAAAACAATTATAAGAGATTAATAAACACATTTTATAACAAATTACTTTGGAATAAAAATTCTTATGCTAATCCAGATATATTTTTAAAGACAGTATTAATAAAGATTAACTGATAAAAATATTAATTGAATACTTAGATATTATAACTATAGTTCACAAACATTATTAAATAATATGATTAAAATAAAATAGAAAGGAAGAGTTTTTTTTCAAAATCTACTTAAGCACTATTTTTCATTACATAACACTGAAAATAAGAGAAATGCTATACTGTTTAAACCTTTTATTCATTGTTTTAAAAAAAATGCTCCGAATCAATAAAAAAATGAACAAATTTATATAGGTATTATATATATTCCTTAGATTTAGCTAATTGTTTATCAATGTCTAATACTTCCGCCTTTTTATCATTGGTAGTTTTCCTTAAGCTATTAGATTTAGAAATATATGTGAAATCACATTTATCCTCAGCTTTTAAAGCAAATGTATTTGCAGTTTCAATCAAAGATTGAATTTCTATCTCCAGTCTTTTCCTTTTTACTTAAAGTGCTGCAATATTTGAACCCTCTTCGTCAAGGAGTTTTCTTTTATCAGCATCAGCTTTTGAAATTCATCTAAATGCAAGGAATATTTCATTCTTGCACTCGAAGCATATTTACATAGTTCATTTGTAATTTTTAAATTGGTGACACTACCTATATTTGAGATATACTGACACATGAGTCGCTGTGATACATAAGACATCTCCTTCATATTTTCAATTTCAATGTTTTTATTGACGCTAAAACCACGCTCAATGGAAGCTTGCCCGTGACTCAAAATTAAAAGCTTCTCATTATGCATTGTTCTCTGTTCTCACTGTTTCTCACCCTTTCTCAAAAACAGGATGAGATTTCAGAAAGTTAAGTGAGATTTCTAAAAACTGAAGAAATACAAATAGACTTGGAAAAAAAATCATTTCTTTTATTATAATACATTTTTAACCTCTTCTATTTTTTAAAGCATTGAATATTTTTGCTGCATCATCATAGAAGATTTTGCCTTTACTAGGTATTTGTCCATCTTACATTAGTGCATAAGAAAATTTGAACGTCCTACATGCAAAACCATACCTACAGTAAACACGTGATGGCAGAGAAATGTGTTCTGAAAGGGGTTCCGTGGATCGGAGGGGTTGTGTTCTGTTGTTCAAAAAGGTTCTGAACAATACCTACTGGTAAATAGGGAAGCTAGATAACGGGGCAAGTGCTGAAAATAATGAAGATGAAGGAGGAAAAGTGAAACGGATTTTATTCTAAATGACGCAAATCGAAGCTTTTTCCAAATTGCGAGAATTTCGTGAATTTTGAAATTGAATTAAAGAATGCGCGAATTTCTTGCAGTAATAATTTTTTAATGCGAGAAAAGAAAAAAATATGCAAGATTCTCGCGTTCTCGCGCTGTAGTGAAAACACTGCCGTATACATTTTTCGTGCATACATGTAAGATGGACAAATACCTTGTTAAGGCGACATCTGCTAGTCCAAAGCGGACAAATAAAAATGAAACAAATGTCAGTAGAAAGGGTCAAAACGAAACAAATAGGAATATTTTTCAGCCAAATAAATAAAATAACTGATGAAAAAGTAGATATAGAACATTTTCCATATGATGATGCAGCAAAAATATTCAATTAGAAGATTCTTAAAAATGTATTATAATTAAAGAAATAATTTTTTTCCAAGTCTATTCGTGTTTTTTTCTTAATTAATTAGAAATCTCACTTCACTTGTGGAAATCTCACCCTGTTTTTGAGAAAGGGTGAGAAATTCTCTCCCATTTTTTTTTCTGTAATGAAAACACTGAGTATCATAGAAATAGGCAAAAATATTTCTAACTTCACTGTTAGAAGATTGTCCACAACATTATTCTGCACAGTCAGGAAAGATTTACACTGTGGAGCATTTACCTGTTTTTTTTTAACAGCAGATCAGGCAATAGAGGAACATTTTCCAGCCAACGATGTTTCACAAACTTTTTTGGAAAAACACTACTTTTAGTTATATTCACATGATCTTCCCGTTGGGCAGAAGGACATCTTTACATAAAAAATATGCATTTCTGCAAAATTCTTCAATGTCCCAATGACAGGCCTTAGAACCTATTTTTAAAGAATTGTGTATGGTATGTAGAGGACATTTCCCCACATTTAAAAGCTGTTGCTTAAAACTCTTAAACATTTCTTCTTGTAGAATATTGAAAAATTTAAAATTAACAAATGAACCATCCATAGATACTTGAATAACTTTCGCCAATGATAATAAAGTAATAGCGTCATGAAAAGCTGCCAGTAGATCTTCTGATTTCCCGTGGCTTAAAAATATTGATGTGAGAAACGAAGTCTTCACCATATCATGCTCCCAGTATCTTATATGAATATCCATTTGTTTTTTTGGCACATCTTGTTTAAACTTTTATCAAACAATAGAACATAGTTGTTTTTGCTGTTCACTATTCTTAAAAGGCTATCTTTCAAATAACATGAAATCTCAAACACTGGGAGATATGCAGTCTTTTTTTTTCCCGCTTGTAAATTTAGCAGCAATACTGCTATCAGGAAACATTATTTGAAATATTTGTTCAATATTTTCATTTGCTTTGTATGGCATGAAATAGTCTTAAATGTCCACAAAATTTCTGCATCTAGGACATCATTTCTTGAAACAAGCTAATTTAAATTGCAAGATGTGGAAGCAATGCATGAAGTAGATGAAGAAACAACAGATGGAGAAGTAGAAGCAACATGTCGATGTAGATGCAATAGACGTTTTGGTTCCTTTTCTTTCTAAATAGCAATCAAATTCGCTTGATTTTTTTATTTTTAACAAATCACAGCATTTTTTCGACTTCATATGACTTTTTAGAACTGATTTCCCCATTTTCGAAATGCTGAATGATATTCCAGATAAATTGCATTTTGCTTTATTTTTGTCAGCACATGAACTAATCCAGTCTTCATAGACTGAATTACTTTGCCATTTATTATTGAACACACATTTACCAGACATTTTACTCGAATTATCACACAAAAATGATTGAAAAAAATTATCCATTAATAAAACTAGAATACAACATGTGATTCTATTGAGTATTGAGTAAAGTAAAGTGCGGCGTGCTCTCTGCTTTCGCTTATAGCACTCATGTGATTCTATTTCGATTGATTTATTTTTGTTTAGAATGAGGTGTATATTATGATTGTATACTAAAGCAGGAAACAGCTGCTTATAGCTTGCATAGAACCAAGTCAAAGTGAGTTAGCAGCTGAGAGTATTATTTGCTAACACAATGGTTGCGCGCTGCAGCTGTTCAGCCAATCATATTCTTTCATCACAGCGTGACGTCATTATTAACTGAATACGTTTTTGCTAGTTAAAAAATAAAATAACTACCAAAAATATTTTCTTATATATTAAATTTAAATAGAAAATATGTAGTATAGAAAACTATTAAAATATAGAAAAACTACTGAAAAATTTTCAAGGACTTTTTAAAAAAATGAAGTTTTTGAAAATATAGCCCTTAATATCGTGCCGTTTATAATACGGCACGATATCTGCCCTTAATATTAAGCTATAATATTTTCATAGAACCACGTATTATATTACCTAGGTATAGTGTACCCTACCAGAGGAAATAATTATAGACCCCTTATGGGGTACAGAACGTGACCCTAAGGCTTACTATGTACGTATATCTAATATAGTGCGTTCGATCGCTTTAAAATGAGGAAATTCGCCATCTAAAAACCTATAAAACTAAGCGAAGTCATTTTTCAACATTAACGTAAAGCCCCTTTAATATTGACCCATAATAATATAATTATGCAACGTTTTATATTACAGGGTAGTGTACACTGTCACCTTAAATAATTATAGACCCCGTAGGGCGTACACTATGTGTATTTAAAATAGTGCATTAAAACAAGCAAATTCGAAGAAACTTTTCAATGTTAAGAAACGGCCCGATATCGATCCTAAATATTAATCTTTCATATTTTAATTGAGCCACGTATGTACCTAGGAATGGCCAAAGGAAATAATTATAGACCCACTAGAATATTAACCTACAAATTTCAAACTCCGCCCAAAATTATAGTTTAATGTATCGAACAATATTATACAGATGGATTTTTTATAGACCAATTAGTGGGCCCACAAAGGGATAAATTAAGTTTTGTTTACTATCCAGGAGGAGGTGTTTTAAGCCAAATATTCGCAGGTTTGGCATGTGAAGCGGGGAGCAGTTGGTAAAGCTGTGTGGCAAGTTAGATTTGTAGTCCCAGAGGCCCTGGGTACGAAACAGTGCGAGGGTCGACTTTCAAACTGTTTTAATTTTCTTTAATATTATTTTTTTGATATATATTTCATTATTTTAGATTGAATAATGTGTTCTGTATATAAAAAAATCTATTTTTTCTTTGGGAAATAGCGAATAATTGCTGAAAAACGGAAAAATTTCGGCAAATTTTTACTTATTTTTTTTTTTTATTTCATACTATTTATTTAACTTCTTTTTCAATATTTTAAAGCGAATATAGTGTTCTATATATGAAAAGAATTATTTTTCTTTGCTAAAGAACGAAAAATGACTGAAAAAGGGACGAAAGTCCTATCAGGAGGCACGCACACATCACACCCCGTAACTCCCTATAATATTAACCTATAAATTTCAAACTCCGTCCAAAATCAGAGATTAATGTATCGAAGAATTTTACCGAAGGATTTTTTTATAGGCCAATTAGTGGGCCCACAATGGGCCAAAATAAGTTTTGTTTACTTACCGGGAGGAGGTGTTTTAAGCCGAATATTCGCACGGTAGGCATGTGAAGCGTGGCGCAGTTAATAAAGCTGTGTGGCAAGTTAGATTTGTGGGCCCGGAGACACTGGGTTCGATACCCTGCGCGTGTCGTCTTTCGAACTTTTTAAATTTTTTTAATATTCTTTTTTAACATATTTTTCAGTATTTTAAAGTGAATACTGTCTTCTGTATATAAAAATATCCATTTTTTCTTTGGGAAATAGCGAATTATAGATAAAAAACGGAAAAATTTCGGCTAATATTTTTTTTTTAAAGCNTCAATATTTTAAAGCGAATATAGTGTTCTATATATGAAAAGAATTAATTTTCTTTGTTAAAGATTGAAAAATGACTGAAAAAGGGACGAAAGTCGTATCAGGAGGCAAGCACACATCACATCCCGTAACTTCCTATAATATCAACCTATAAATTTCAAACTCCGCCCAAAATCGGAGATTAATATATCGCAGAATTTTACCGAAGGATTTTTTTATAGGCCAATTAGTGGGCCCACAATGGTACTTACCGGAAGAAGGTGTTTTAAGCCGAATATTCGCACGGAAGGCATGTGAAGCTTGGCGCAGTTAATAAAGCTGTGTGGCAAGTTAGATTTGTGGTCCCGAAGACTCTGGGTTCGATACTCTGCGCGTGTCGTCTTTCGAACTTTTTAAATTTTTTTAAATATTATTTTTTAATATATTTTTCAGTATTTTAAAGTGAATAATTGTTCTGTATATAAAAATATCTATTTTTTCTTTGGGAAATAGCGAATTATAGCTAAAAAACGGAAAAATTTCGGCTAATTTTAATTTATTTATTTTTTTCACTTTATGCTATATATTTAACTTCTTTTTCAATATTTTAAAGCGAATATAGTGTTCTATATATGAAAATAATTAATTTTCTTTGTTAAAGGGCGAAAAATGACTGAAAAAGGGACGAAAGTCGTATCAGGAGGCAAGCACACATCACACCCCGTAACTCCCTATAATATTAACTTATAAATTTCAAACTCCGCCCAAAATCAGAGATTAATGCATCGCAGAATTTTACCGAAGGATTTTTTTATAGGCCAAATAGTGGGCCCACAATGGGACAAAATAAGTTTTGTTTACTTACCGGAAGAAGGTGTTTTAAGCCGAATATTCGCACGGAAGGCATGTGAATCGTGGCGCAGTTAATAAACCTGTGTGGCAAGTTAGATTTGTGGTCCCGAAGACTCTGGGTTCGATACCCTGCGCGTGTCGTCTTTCGAATTTTTTTAATTTTTTTAAATATATTTTTCAGTATTTTAAAGTGAATAATGTGTTCTGTATATAAAAATATCTATTTTTTCTTTGGGAAATAGCGAATTATAGCTAATAAACGGAAAAATTTCGGCTAATTTTTAATTATTTATTTTTTTTCACTTTATGCTATATATTTAACTTCTTTTTCAATATTTTAAAGCGAATATAGTGTTCTACAGATGAAAAGAATTAATTTTCTTTGTTAAAGAGCGAAAAATGACTGAAAAAGGGACGAAAGTCGTATCAGGAGGCTCGCACACATCACACCCTGTAACTCCCTATAATATTAACCTATAAATTTCAAACTCCGCCCAAAATCAGAGATTAATGTATCGAAGAATTTTACCAAAGGATTTTTTTATAGGCCATGTAGTGGGCCCACAATGGAACAAAATAAGTTTTGTTTACTTACCGTTAGGAGGTGCTTTAAGCCGAATATTCGCTTGGTATAAATGTGAAGCGTGGCGCAGTTAATAAAGCTGTGTGGCAAGTTAGATTTGTGGTCTCGGAGGCCCTGGGTTCGATACTCTGCGCGTGTCGTCTTTCGAACTTTTTAATTTTTTTAATATATTTTTCAGTATTTTAAAGTGAATAATGTGTTCTGTATATAAAAATATCTATTTTTTCGTTGGGAAATAGCGAATTATAGCTAATAAACAGAAAAATTTCGGCTAATTTTTACTTATTGATTTTTTTTCACTTTATGCTATATATTTAACTTCTTTTTCAATATTTTAAAGCGAATACAGTGTTCTACAGATGAAAAGAATTAATTTTCTTTGTTAAAGATCGAAAAATGACTGAAAAAGGGACGAAAGTCGTATCAGGAGGCTCGCAAACATCACACCCTGTAATTCCCTATAATATTAACCTATAAATTTCAAACTCCGCCCAAAATCAGAGATTAATGTATCGAAGAATTTTACCAAAGGATTTTTTTAAAGGTCAATTAGTGAGCACACAATGGGCCAAAATAAGTTTTGTTTACTTACCGGGAGAAGGTGTTTTAAGCCGAATATTCGCAGTGAAGGCATGTGAAGCGTGGCGCAGTTAATAAAGCTGTGTGGCAAGTTAGATTTGTGGTCCCGGAGGCCCTGGGTTCGATACCCAGCGCGTGTCGTCTTTCGAAATTTTTAATTTTTTTTAATATTATTTTTTAATATGTTTTTCAGTATTTTAAAGTGAATAATGTGTTCTGTATATAAAAATATCTATTTTTTCTTTGGGAAATAGCGAATTATAGCTAATAAACGGAAACATTTCGGCTAATTTTTACTTATTTATTTTTTTAAACTTTATGCTATATATTTAACTTCTTTTTCAATATTTTAAAGCGAATATAGTGTTCTATATATGAAAAGAATGAATTTTCTTTGTTAAAGAGCGAAAAATGACTGAAAAATGGACGAAAGTCGTATCAGGAGGCAAGCACACATCACACCCCGTAACTCCCTATAATATTAACCTATAAATTTCAAACTGCGCCCAAAACCAGAGATTAATGTATCGCAGAATTTTACC